GTAAATGTATGTTTGTGAATATGTGTATGTGTATACGTGTGTGTGTGAGTGTATATGTGTGTGTATGAGTGAGTGAGTATGTGTAAATGTATGTTTGTGAATATGTGTATGTGTATACGTGTGTGTGTGAGTGTATATGTGTGTGTATATGTGAGTGAGTATGTGTAAATGTATGTTTGTGAATATGTGTATGTGTATACGTGTGTGTGTGTGAGTGTATATGTGTGTGTATGAGTGAGTGAGTATGTGTAAATATATGTTTGTGAATATGTGTATGTGTATACGTGTGTGTGCGTGTACATGAATGTGCACGTGCACGCGCACACACGTGAGTGTAAATGTGTTTGTGTGTAAGTGTGTGTGTTGTGTATGTGTGTTTGTGTTGTGTGTGTGTGTGTGTGTGTGTGTGTGTGTGTTTGTGTTGTGTGTGTGTGTATGTGTGTGTGTGTGTGTGTGTGTGTGTGTGAGTACGTATGAGTGAATGTGTGTTTGTGGTGTACGTCTGTGTACATGTTTGTCTGTGTGTGCACCTTGCCATTATAACATTATTTTCAAAAGTCAGCTCATTTAGAACTCTCACAAAATATCTCCCAAACGTCGTAGATAAATACAAGTATGTCATAAACACAGATTGTGAGGCCATGATATTGTGATGTCACACAACTAGAACGGTGGCTCCTTTCTCTCATACCTCTGTTCTTCTATCTACCCTTCCGGCCTTCCTTCATCTCTTTACTCATTCACTCGGTTTTTCTTGTATGGATGTACCAAATCTCACATCACAAAACCTTTTTATAACTTTATTGATATTTGTTTTTATAATTCATGTTTTCACAGAACTCTCTCGTTCGTAAAATATGTTTAATGTGATGCGGCCTGAATAGATTACCTATCTACGTTCCAAAAATACCTACCTAGTGTACCTAAACTCAACATTTACTATGATCTCTCTTTACCACACACGCTATCTTTTTTTCAGTCCTTCACATTTCCTATGGCATGCCAACTATGCCGCTACCAGAATATTACAAGGTTCTATCAGCTCAGTACTTAGTTTCGAGAAATTTCACGTAAAAAAAAATTAGAGTTTTTCCACTGGCGAAGCTTTTTTAAATACAATTCTTTATAAAATGTCAATATCAGTCTTCATAACAACTCCAAATAATCCTACGATTTTGATAAAACAGACAGAACATTAATTTGTTTTCCGACCTCCTGGCCTTAGTAGCTCACAACCGCGACAAAAATTAATGTCAGGTAGAACTTTAATGTAATTCTGAGATAGCGATGTGCCTGTCTGTCTGTGTCGTTGGCTCTATCAAAGTGAGTCGTTCTCCCAATCCCCCCACCCC